AATTCCTCAAAATTGACTGGAATAACAGAAGACTTTCTACTTCATAAATGCATAAATAGCGTGCCATTCGCAAAGTAGTTACACCTAATATTACATGCGTACAGGAAAACGCCGTTTTCAAAATGAGGCTCAGTAGTAGCAATCTGTCAATGCTTCCAAAGGCGCAATTTTTTGGAGGAAAAGGAGCTATAATATCTTGCAATTTTATCTACAGCAGACTAAATGGGATGCTGACGTTGTCCAGCCTAAGTAGGCTGAAAGGTTTAAAGAAGGACGTTTGTCTAGACTTAGACCCAATAGACAGGGAACGGCTGAAGTCTGCTGTCATAGAGCTGAAAAGACGTATTGGTAGGGGGAGGAACAAAACTCCGTATTGTCAATGTTCTTGTGGTTTCTAAGAATCTGCAAATATGAATAAACAGATAGCCCACACTTCAAACACGGTCGGCGGCTCTTGCTGCAGCTCGCGAGTAGCCTTCGCAAACGTTTGCAGTGCATGAACAAACGAGATGAGTTTTTTCGTTTAGTTGCTTCATTGCGACCGAACGTAATAAGACTCGATGAGACACGGCCGCATTCAGTGGTATACACCCAGGAAATTGAAATCAGCGTTTACTCGTGCTCTGCTGCGATTGACTAACAAGTACCCAATGTCGCGCCTTTCTTTACATCCGGTCATTGCTGCGTGGGACACTTGTGTGTACATACCGAAGAGGCGATGGTCTGTGTGATAGACTGTGGTGCTCCTTGCACCCTAGGCGCGAAAAGCTGCTTGTGTGTGTAGTCTGTATGATCTCCCAGACTTATTGTTTGAATTGGCAGCCCCATCTAAGAACCCACATGATTTGACCACGCTGTCAAATTGTGGGCGTTTATAAATGTTCTCGAATACGATGGCCTGATGTGCATTTGATGTTTGGACATGGTAAGGTTGAAGTAAACTTCTTGGATTTGGTACTTGAAACTGATGCATCGCAACACACATGCTGGCCCACACGAGATATACCACGCTCAACCCCGTCCTTATCCCTCGGATGTTAACGAGCTAGGAACAACGAGTGCGTGACGTTCGGAACCTGAAGATTCTAGCTGAAGGCTACCACTCAGTACTCATAGTTTATATGGAATTACCGTTGCCATTTTTATGGGAGCTGCAACCAGTTTACAACTATTGGAAAACGGACTTCGACGGTCTAGTCCTGGCCGTGTGCCAACTGTATTGGTCTTTGTTACAAACGACAGCTGTTAACGAATATTGGACATTTACAAAAGTGAGACTGACGTTATTGTGTTCCAGTTTATTCCTTTAAATTATTGTACGATTAAACCTCATTGGTTGGCTAAGGAGTATGGAAATCTGGCTAGGATGGGGCGCAGCTTGTGAGACAGATTTCTCCCCTCTTGCTACGTCAATGATTACAGAGCGTATAAATGTCAGAAGGACATCTGCAACAGCGGAACAAGGAGTAAGTGCCAAATATACGTTGGCCGACCCTAAAATATATTTTGCTTACGTGCAGGGAAGCCTGAAGCCGGCAGGTGATCTACCAGCACTAGATGGCCTAGGCAGACAGCCTTTGCCTGTGTGAATTGGCGTGAGCGATGCGCTTCGCTTCAATGTTTACAAGTGACCAGGTGCTTTTACCGATTTCGAAGTGTACGACTTTTACGAAACGTGAATGTGTGGATTGTCTCATTGAATAAGCAAGCAAATTACGCCACAGTCTTAATAGCAGCAAGCCTGCCGGGCATGAAATTCTCCACCAACTGATTCTCAAGTCACTTTTGACTATCATCTCTCATGCCATGACTGATATTTGCAACAGGGCGCTCTCCAAAGCTTCATTGCTGATTTACTGGAAAGGCTCGGCGCTGAAGCTTATATCGTATAACGACGACCCCAGTTAAGTAGACTAATACAGGTTCTTTTTGCCGTACAACTATTTTGGCAAACGTTGCTGAGAAAATCGTGAAGCTGAGATAGCTGCAGTTACTGCAGACAAATTATGTCCTGACTCCCGCACAGCAAGGTTTTATGTATAATCGCTTATGCATTTCAGACTTGCTTGTGACGAGGCAGATTGGTTGCAAGCAATAAGCATGCTGAAGTTTAGCAACGTGTTATTGCTCCTCATCAATGAAAGTTTGACAAGTTCAGCCATGTGGTCTTACTTCACGAAATCAGGAAGTGCGGCGGCGGTAGACCACTGCATCAGTGAAACCGTGACTTTCTTTTGGACGAAAGTGGACGATACCGTCATTGACCACCTAAATGATTGGTATCCCCCTACAAGTGGAGTAACTTAAGGCACTGTGCTGGTCCCACTCTGTTCCTCTTCTACATCCTAGTTTTACTACAGCTACTCCAGTCGGCGTGTTTCCTGTTTGCGGTCGACATAACGATTTGGAGAAAAAATAACACTTCCGACGACCATGGCTGAATTTAACAAGACCTCAAATGCCAATCCAAATTGTCTGCAAATGTTCCTCTTCCGGTCAACACATCTAAGTCAGTATTTATAAGCGTGTTGAAGGGTGCTGACGTCGGAACATACACTATTGAGGCCAAACTGCTATATCCTCCACGCTCCGTGAAGGACTTAGGTGCGCTATTGAGCTGCGATTTTAAGTCCACAGACAACGCGAATTGGCTTTACCATAATGGGCTTCGCAGGCTTTGGATGCGGAAAGTTAGATTCGGACCAATGTTTGTAGAGGTTGTTACTCGCCACTTCTCTGCATTCGATTGTCAATTGCTAGATCATGTTTTCCCGACTAATATCCGATTATCGGAAGCGAAGCTCAAAAGATCCTACGGGTCCAATACGTTGCTACCAGGCTCATCCCGAGTTTACTTTCTTTGCGTTATAAAGACCACTGTGAGAGACAAGGGATCTACAACTTGTCCTACTGTCGGGTCCAAGTCGAAATCTTTATGACCTACCGTATTCTACATCCCGGTGACTGATTCATTCTTAGGCCAATGCTGCACTTACGAGAGCCATTCAGCACCCCCGGTCACAGATACCAACTTGTAGTGCCAGATGTGAAACGAGTTCTACACTCATTGTGCTTCAAGCGGATGGTGGTAAATAGTTAGAACATTTTGCCGTTCACGTGATATAGGACACATTTTTGCAGCAGTTCAAAACATCGTTGAATTTATATTTTTCCACTACTAGGTTCAGAGAATGATTACACATTACGATTACATCTTACATATGAGCGTACTGTAATACCGTAAGTCAGGTACATTAAATGCCACATAAGAAGCATACCGATATTCGCTAGTGATATTTTGTAACAGTACTTAACAGATTTTGATGGAGTAGTACACAGTTCACTTTTAATTGCTCCACACTACAGGAATCAATATCTTATAATTGTGTGCATGACACAAACCCAGTCGTAACAGTGCTCTCAATAGCAAACCAGAGGTGTGCTTATTTAGCATATTTCCAAACGGTTGTTCTTTCTCCCAAATTTGCCACTCAATAGTTTGCGTATTCCAGCTATCCGAGTAGATTTTTAGGTAAATGATCCTTCATTTGTTTGTTTAGCTTTATTTGAAGAAAGCGTATAACCCTTATTCCTGATTCAATCCTTTCCATTGAAGTGCATACTACTGGGCGGGGAAAACAAACTTTTGTGCACTAAACCGTATAGAAACTTTACGCCCAGTTGAAATGTCCAAATACCTAAAGGCTTCAACTTAGATGGTATACAGAGCCCCGAATAGTAGGATTTTGGAGATTCGGTAACTGGGTTTGTGGAGAATTAACGATGCACGTTCACTTAGTATGAACGTTCGCATCTCGTACAAATTGTAAATATCATCTCTGAGTAAGCTAAATCAAATTTCTATTCATAATACACCAAGTCCCTTTATCCTTGAAAACTGGTGCACATAACATGCTGCGCAATTTTATCATACGTGGCCTGGTTGTACTGGTGTAGGATTGCTTGAATCGTTCCATGCAGTCGAAAAAGTGGCGAAATTGGGCAGTTAACACTTCACACGTTGCAAATGAGCGTTGGGGCACGAATACATCCCTTCCTTTCGTCTGATGCTCAACACCTATATCTATGCTTATGTTAAATGCACAATTTAATCCTGGAAGCCACGATTAATGAAAAGCCTCAATATTAAGGCACATCCTTAACCGCAATGTTGTAAGTACTTCGGCTGTATATGCAATCTCAAACAGCTCATCGGCTGCAACGCTTTAAACTGTTCCACGGACGCCTCCGTTGAAGACGAAGCTACTTACTAATCGCATACTTGATTTCGCACCGTATAGATAATGTGTTAAATTTGAACAGTAAAGCCAGTGTAAGAGCCCACTCCTTCAAACGATCGGAATAGTACAGCTGTCTTAATATGAAAAAGAGTATTTTTTCGCCGTCGATACAGTTCCTGGAGCCTAACAATTGAATTGGTTGATTGTGTGCCAGCACTAGCCATATTAAAAAATGACTGCACGGTACATTCATTCAGCATCTGCTTTTCACTTAACACGTTCGTTCAGCATCAGTCGTACAAAAATCGTGGATACTTTTTTACCACTTACTTTTACTTTTAAAGAAACATGGTTGACAGGCACGAACCTTATGTGTGTAACGTTTACTAGGCCTGCCAACAGAACACTAAATATAACTTCAAATTTATTCTCAATAAGCTGTAAAATTCATCTTTTATTTTTCACTGCTGGTCCTTAAGTTTTTGCGCTTTTGTTTGGGATACATGGTTATCCTGGCACATGCTGTTACCTCCGAGAAAACGGACACGATAAATAAGAAATCCTAGCTTCAAGCAGATCAAGACATTTACAAATGAACAAAATCCTAGTGTCACAACTATGCTACGCAAACTGAAATGGGCTAAAAGTTTAAAATCACAAGTAATGTTAAAATGGATGGCCCATAACTTTTATGTCTTAACATTTTAAAGTAATATCTTAGTTAGCTTTATGTTGCTTACATCTCTTCAATTCTTACAGTTAGAGGATTATGACAGTGTCCTCTTTGACTACATGGTTATGTTTGAAGGAGCAGATTGCTTGGCTCCTCGATTTGCGGTTACTTTTTTACAACGGATCATCAGCTCCCCTGCAACCAACGTGTCGCTGGTATTCATCAGTGACATGACAAATCAAGGTGTTGGTTTGAGTCTTTACTATGAACCAGGTAAGTACCATTGAATATTTTCTGATGTTTATTAGTCGAATTTTAACACAAATTATTTCGCAGCGTGTTTAGTGGCACACAACATTTTAAGTACCAGTCTGTTAACCAGAACACATTCATTCAGTTAAAATGGCCTTGTTTAAATACAATGTAAATATTAAGCGTAGTTGCGCGTATCCTTGGCCGAGTAGAAATCCAATGTTTCTATCAATTACTCTAGCGCAATGTTGTTACATCTTTAAAACCCATCCATATTGCCAAATATGTTCCTTTTACTTGGTGTTTAGAATAGTGACTGTGATAGTGAAGTGATAATGATAATGAGTTATAACAATTAGCTTCTGATTCTCTGTCAATTACTTGTGAGTGAAAATCATACTTAAGGTCAATAATTCCGTATGTATTTCATGATCTTATTGAAGATTGCAGTAAGACAACTACTGCGGCTGCTCCACGTCCATATTTTGTATATGATTATCTGTCCGAAATAAGACTTAACTACTGAATTTTCATACTTAGATATAAAGAGGGCCGAGAACATATAGCGTTAGCAATAGCTTTTTTAAAATATTGTTTGCTAGGCAGTTTACCGGTCCCTCAACTTAATTTAAATTCAGATTGGTTGCCAGGTTAGGAGATAGTACAAGGTATGCTTTAACTCGCCTTACTTTCATGATATTGTGGTTTCGTTTGCGTTTACTATTATTTAGCGCAGTGCGCTACCTATATCATGTGGTAGCATGGGGTTAGAGAGATCCGTAAATCGGTCATAGACCTAAATTAAGTGAAATAATATTCACTATTTCTACAATTACTGAACTTTATATATATATATATATACACGTTTTGTTATCTTGGTAAGGTTTTAATGTATCCGTCGATATATTTATTAACTAATATTCTAGTAAGCTTTCGACTGCTTTTGGATTTTGTATCAAAATGTGCTTTGTTAATATCTTTTATCTTATGCACAGTGGCATAAGTCTTTCACAATTTTATGTGTGGTATAATGTTTGCTAGACGTTTGCGGAAAAAAAGTAATTGGATCACTAACGAATAATGATTAGAAACTAGTTATCTAGCCAGCTCCCTGGAATGATATGAATGAGAACTGTGAATTAGCAAGAGAAATATAGGTAAACAAATAGAAAGTTTTCTGGTAAACTCTCAAGGGCGGTTCCACTGGAGCATTTGTTGAAAATTAACTGAGTGCCAATGGGAGCAAACTTTTCCACATTTATCATCCACATAAATAAATTAAACCTCAACGGAAGTTTGTAATATACATAAACTAAGGCAGCTGTTATGCGTATTCTGCGACGCTGTGGGACAAAAATCCTAAAAATGGGTAAAATATCCTATGTTTGAAGGACCATAAGAGAGGAAATGTCACTGCGAAATTTAAAATGGCTTAAATGCGTAAACAGCTGATCTGGTAATCTACCACCAAATGTTGTGGTTAATTTGGAATTGACGGCGGTAATCAAGGCTATGGATTCTAAGGATATATTGTGTCAATGTACAAGCGCCACATATGTACAGATATTTGCATATATTTTAGTTCTCAGGCCAGGCTGCTTTTATAGATGCATGAACGCTATTACACTTGGTCTACTTCGCTTGTATTGTCTCAAGTGTCTTGGGAGTTTGTGTCTTCCATGATAGAAATGTATGAGCAGCCATCCTTTAATAAAGCCGAATATAGACAAAAAATATTTGGTCATGGATGAAAGGATACAGAACCCAATTGTTTATCAAGATGTTAGTTTTTGAATTCTAGCATAACAGGTAATTCTGATCGCGAAAAATCACTTGGAGCTATAGTACAGTTGCTACAAACCTGAAACATCGCGAGTAAAGCATGAGTTCTAAGATTATAAGGACGCTTTGTTGGAGAGACATTGTAGATAACATTATATTTTGACCATTATAATCATCCTAACTTTCTAAGAATTTGTAGGAACGTTTGGTGCACGTTTCGTTCGCAACCATTAGGTACTTGCTAAAAATATCAGCAAAAGTAGACAGTAGTGCACCAAGGCACATTCCATCCTTTGTTCATAAATCCGAGGACGGTACGCCGCAGCAGCAATACTCATTTATAAATTCGTGCTTTACATGGCTAGGACTGTAAGGAGAATCCTAATTTCTCACCTACCTTTGAGGTTACCGCAGGTAATACCTATCAGCCTATGGACAGTATCCCTAGTTTCCCTTGCCTAGGAGTCCAAGTTGAACGGTGCGATGGTAAACTTAGTGGAATTCATTGACAAAGTCACGCTGGCGGTTTTTCATCTGAATTTGCCTCTTTAACGTTTTTGTCTAACTAATGCGTGTTGAGGTTGCTTACTCAGCATCAGAAAGTATAAAGAGACCAAGAGACTGCAATGCTATTTGTCGAACAGAAACTCAGACGGTTGAGGAAGAAAACGACCATGGATTAGCTTTTTGTTACTGGAATTATGCTACTGTGAACGGTAGCATGGTTGAATCACTTTTCATAGTGGAAATGTTCACTAGGGCCAGTGCAAGCTTTATGGTCGCTGCTTTCATCGAAATATGACAAACATCATCAGCTCGATGACTGCTGATAACGTAGATCCAAGTAATTGTCTCAACTAACTTGTACTGAAAATAGCTACTAGGATATGCGTTTAAATTTAGGCGGCTGGTGTGTCTATGCAATTTGGAGGAGGGCATGTTGCCTTCAAAAAGCATTGAACAATTCTTCATGGCCCTGCGAGGTACAGACCGTTGGGTGAGCTTTACAAACAAGTTATACTTCGTAAATGTTGCTAACATTCTTGGATCAGGTGTTTTTATAACAGAAAACTACAGTCTAGATGTTGTTGGTTAGCTACTTTTCTTAAAAGACAAGCGCAACCCATTTTGTACGTTGGACTGCGCGTTCAATTCAGGATTTTGGGTCGAAGTGGGCTCTGTAAACACGCCACACCTATTTCATAAATGCACTCGTTTTTTAATGTCTACTTCGATAAAAGCTCGATTTTTGCAATGCAATTAACAGGCTACGTATCTGAAGCAAATGTGATCTGATTGTCATGACGTCCGAATTTTTGTGTCTAATTGGAGTAGGCAAATGCACCGGTCAGTTGCTTTTAACTACGGATCTCAAATAGCTATCACACGATATTGTACACCTTGCTAGTACGTGTCTACTTATCCGAGTGTTAAAGTGATTGTAATTGCGCAGTTAATACACGGCAAACCAAATCTTAGAAGGTTCTAACAATTAAAGAATTTACAACATTTACCTATGTTTTACACCGCTTCATTTGTGTGTGTTTAACAAAAGACGTATGTTGAGTTCACCAAAACCTATTGCAACGTGTGGCAGCTTGCCAAACAATTAGTTGAAAGTTGCTTATATGTCTGCTTATTTTGCATTTTCATATATGAGTTAAAATCATATTGAAAGTTAATTTTATTGTATGGTTCACTAAGTAGCGTAATTTTAAATGCAATCTTACGATATATGGAGCCAATTAGTCGACAGAATCTGAAGGAACCCGGCTGAGTCTTGTCGTGCTGGATAAAATAATATTGCACTTGAATATTCGCATTACCATGTTGTAGAGACAAGATTTATTGTAAAATGAAACGGATCAAACTTGATATAGCGAACCAGGCGATGGGTTAACTACAAGACGCTAGTGTATGCATTAATTTCTGAAACAATCAATACTGAGGTTTGGAATTTTTAAAATGTAGAAAGCGGCATGGCATTTCTTACGGCGCTATGAAGTTTTAAATTATGAGCGACTATCCAGCGTGACCAATCATTAGTCTTCGCTGGCATATTTGGCAGTCTTGCCGTAAGCGGAACAATTACTTACGCTGAGCATTCGCACATGATCCAATGCACCAAAATGAAACCACGTAATATTGGTTTCAGTACACTAACGAAGCATGCCGTGACGACCAATCCGTATACTTCAGTGTAGAGAAAATATGTGGCTGTAATAGCACAACTAACAATGGCTTTTAATGTGCGAAACACATTGGTTGACAAGTCCCATAGGATGACTAGAGTGACAAGTAAAAAATGCTTAATTAAAGCTTCAAGAAAAAGAAAGAACCTCTGGTTTATGTTGACTCTCCATTTTTCACATGAGTAAATGCTGTTCTGTTAGCCGCTAAGTAACGAAAATGGCTTGTGAGCACACTGATGTGAATTGTTATATTGATGGAAGCGAACTATGTAACTAATGTAAATATGATAGAGTGTGCTCTATTCGTTTCTTAAAGTGGGTTACTGTGTGCGTAAAATAAATATAAAAAGAAAGTGCATTCGCTTTTCTGCATACCTAAAATTAGGACACGTTTGGTCAGCAATCTAGTGAACTTTGGTTTGCAGTTCAATTGAGCTAGTGGCCCTCTCATATTAGTATTGTGACCGAGGCAGCAGCTCGCGACAAGCGTGTTTGGGAATAGACAACATTTAATTTACTAAAATGCCTCCTCGGTTGCGCAGATATTCGCACCTGTGCAAATCAAGGTCTTGCAGTTATCCTTGGTAGGTGAAACAGTCTTCTAACGATGTTCTTTTCCCTGCTTTGTGCAGTACAGAGCGCAGTAGCATCCTGTTGGTGCCAAAATTACCCGGCCTGGACCGCCTACTCCACGTGTGACTCATGTAACCGTTCACTATTTGTGAAAATATTGACCGCTGTTAATTCCTGAACACTCTACGTAGGAGCCCAACATGCTGACAGGCTTTTCTCTATGCCGTTTTGGCCTGGATCAAGGGGATAAGGTCGTCCTGCACGCGTACCACAGGTCGCTTCCTGGCGTAGCACGTTGCACCAGATGTTCTTTCAGTTCAGAGTAGGAAGTACACTGAGGACGTATGTTCAAAACTTATATTTTATCATGTTTTCGGAGGAACATATGTAAACCCTGACGAGGTTTTTTTATAGTGCCACGTTGTCTTTAACTGTTTGGATGTCTTGCCAAATCTTGAGCTTGTTCGCAAATAGAATGTAGTCTAATTGCAGCACCCTTGCAAGGTCTTTGATGAATACTAGTAACCAATGTGTTCCTAATACCGATCCATGGGATAATCCATACTGGACTTCATTTGGGTCAGAGATTGATCTGCGGGTCATCACGTTCAGCGGACGTTGTATTAAAATGTTGATTATCCAAACCAACTCTGGGTCCAATTGCATAACCTCAAACGCTGTGAAGGATAATTCGGAGGTCTAGGCGATAGAGGTTTTTCGAATAATCAGGTTTACGACATCAAATCCTTGTCTGGCATCGGCCAACATCGTCCAACTTGCTCGGGCTTGTAACAACTTATTTTTGCAGAAAAGATATCGTCAGGATCCGTACAGCTGTGACATTTTGATGTTGTTACTCTCAATGTCTTCCACGAGCGCTGCTGCAATTATCCCTGACATAACACTGGATAACAATTGGAGAAAGATAAAAAGACAGTGGTTAAAACGCTTTACGCGATTGCCATTGTTGAAAATAGGAGTAAGTATACTCCATTTATACGTGATCGGAATTGACATTTCCTCAATACTCCGTTAGAACAACAGAGTCATTATTATAGCAAGTCTCAAAGCGACCACTAAGAGCGCCTTCGTTCTAATAATGTTCATATTGTGCACGGGCAAGTACAGTTGTTAGTCAAACAAAGTTTGAGAGTGTAGCGTAATGGGTGACGTGAAATTCATCAATATTTTCACGGATGTATTTCGCGTTAAAGACGTAGCGGAAGAGCAGCGCTCTGTGACCGTTACGGCGAAGCGGTGGACTTATGTTTACTACATCAAACATCAGCTCCAATTACATGAAGAAAAATTCTAAGACACATGGTTTGTCTCCCGTTTGAATCACATAAGCGCGTTCAGGTGGTTGTATATAGGTACGGCAATGACTACTTCTTGTAAGGCCGGGTTGAGTTGTTAGCAGAGCAAAGCCTGGATTTCGATTGCTTGCAGTTTGAAGTTCCCCACCAAAAGCATGTGACTGTATGACTGTGATAGGATTTGTTTCCTAGTCAATGCCCAGCGGGGATCCATTTCCAGGGTGGAACAAGGGGGCGGTAGGTCATAGTCAGTAAGCACACATCGCAACGTTTCATTTGCCGGCGGCAAAAGTGGTACTCAACAAGCAGATTTTCGGAATCGTCGATGTTAATAACATGTAGGTCAGATCGGTATTAAAAAATCATTCCAGCTCCTCTACCGTGTCAATTTGATCGTAGGAGAGTTTCTCCTGACAGGGCTATCACGGCATCAGCGATATTAAAATTCAGTTATGTTCTCGAGACGATATCCCAAGGTGTCTAAGCGTGAGGAGTATGAGGCTTCGCTAACTTACTGAGAAGACCATTAGCTTTGGTATATAGGTAGGTGAGGGCTTCAAATGTCAGCAGCATATTGTAGTTGCGGTTTCCTGTTGTGGGCTTATGCAGAAAATTGTGGGATCGGTTGTTCATCGCATTTTGTTAAACCCTAACCACTGTCCTTGATGAATTCTAGGTTCGCATATAGAGTTCTTGGCGACAGTATTTTTCTGCAAGCAAACACATTATTCATCGGACAAATTATTTTGAGTGCATTCCGGTTCTGAGCGGCAAGCTGATGGGAACATACACAATTATTGCATGTTCTGCGTCAACTGCTCAATTTGGTTTAGCGTCAATTTATTTTCACCCATTTCGGGTGGCAGCTTTTTCACAAGATTAAACAGGTTTCTATCACTTACTTCGCAATGGGTATTGCTTGTAGTGTTAATTTTATCACTCATTAATAATTCCGCCTATCGGCGGTGACGATGCTAACCTTGAAATCAAATTTGCGATAACAAATTCTAGTGCGCGTACTTCCAGGATGAAGCCTCATTTATTGCATCCATAATTTTATGGTCTGAAGCTCAGGAACACCGTGGAAATATGCGATTTTGTTTCTTTGTGTTTGCCGTCGTCGTCCGACTTGAATATGCAGTTATGGCGTTCGCTCCTCAAAGCATGTGGAAAATTGCGAACAGTGTATTGAGTTGCTTAGAAGCGGGTGGCTGACAAAAGAAATCTCTACACCATCAACTCACTGTAGCTTTACTTGGATTAGTCGTAGTTTACGGTAGTTGCCGATCTTGGATGACGCACGCAGCGCATCTTATTAGATGGCTTTGATAGGAATCTAATTAATTGATATATGGCATTACAAAAAATAAAACACAGGCTACTGCAATAAGTTTGATAAAAACATAAATTTCTAACGGTCTGTATTATATCCTTTTATGGTGGAGAAAACTTACGTGGGAAAACTAACCATAGATGAGAAAATGGATAGGCGAAATCCATCAAGAAACTGTCAACAATCGTTTTCTGACAAATCTGCAAATGGCGGTTGCGCGCATTCGGCTAGAAAGCAAATATGGATAATGTATCGCAAAAGAAGTGCTTTAAACTTTTAAGTTTTAAGTTAATGAACTGAAAAATGTTGGCAAATTTGCGTTAATACCGCACTATTTGTTGTAATCTATCAACTTGAATCCAATAACATGGTTTAGTGTATTGCCGTCACGATAGACATATTTCGTAGGCAATGACTGTCGCCGATTTTAGGCAACGAATTAGATGATCTAATGAATTAACTTAGTGAAGCAAGGAAACCTAATAGTCAAATCGGGTCACCCCATAATCGGTTAGAAATCCCGCCTTTTCAGTAATTTTTAATTATGTTCTCTCAATTAACAATGTCGACATAAATTTTATGCATTGTAAATGTGTCTTTATTATGAAGCCCACACCAGACCGATTGAACCACTGCAGTGTAATTGTGTTCCATTGGATAACAACTCAGACATATAGAAGCCGGAATACTGAATGTGGATTCAGACCGTTCGACTGAACTCGTGAAAGAAAGCCAAGTAGCAAAATATCCGAGTAGCGATTCCTGTGGCACAGGTACCATGCAAATTATGTTATTGCATACTGCAAACAAAGTACAGAACCGTAAATATTAAACACGAATAAACAATTTCACCGAGTTTTTATGTAATTTTACAGAAACTGAGGTGGATGCTTGGAAACTTTTAAAAGCAAGTGAGTGACACTCAGCAACATATAATATTTCGCTGTTTGATGCTGTTTAATATGATAATGTCGATGAATATTAATGTATCTGAGGTTTACAGAGTGATATGTGGTACGTAGCGGTGGTTCTGATTCATTTGGAAACTGAGGGAAGAATATATTTATTTTGTTCTTAGATATACATAAAGATATTTTAAAAGCAACAAGCAGTATTGTAAACTAGTATTCTTCAAATTCGCCATTGGAAATTATATTTTGTAATGTATTCATTCTCTCTGACTGATCTATCTTTAAATTATTACATGCTCGCTATTTCATCAACAGCAAGCTCAATTCTCTGTTGTCGATCGATTCGCCAACGTTAGGGATTCGATTGCAAGCGTTTCGCCAAAAATCAAGTTGCATCTTTCAGCGCATTACAGTGCAGTAGGCAACCTCATTGATTTTTACGCAGTCATTGTAAACACTTGCATCCGAACATTCTTACTAGATCAAGTAATCTTCACTCATGTGGGAATTACCAATTGCTTCAAGTTCAATGTATAGATCCATGAATGAATGAAATGTACACATATGTGGCCCACATAGCCGCTAAACTAGGATCATCAATGAGCAATGGGTTATTTTTGTATCTTCCGAGATATCTCATCGCGGTCCCCTCTCTGAAATATAAATAAACCTAAGATAACTTGTTTGCTACATCGGTGGTACGTTTACAATATTTAAGCAATGCAAATTATTGTTTGCATACTATCTACTCAAGAATGTTTTGGATGAAATCCAGCTTAACTCCAGTCGCAGATGAAATGCGATTCTATTAATGAGTGTGTTAATGCGCAAAACGTTAGGCAGCGTATTCCAGACATACTTTTACAAAGAATGCTCAAATACGGACCTAGGTTGCTCTGTCAAAGTTAATGCGCATATTCCTCCTAAATATTTTGTGCTAAAAGTTAGTTCTCAGATCCTAAACAAACAGCAGTATTTGGAGTTGAAGAAACACTTGTCTGCCAAAAGGTTGTTGGCACATACCAATCCAAGGTGCCTAAGCCACGTAACAAAAGCTTTAGTAGTCATATCATCGAGATGGATAGATATATTTTTATCATATCTAATACGTTAGTTAAAATGTTGTTTGGATAGTATAAATAGCATTACAATATATGTTTCAATATATCATATGCTGAATGTCACAATTAAAATTTAAATGAAAAAAACACTACGCAATATTTTTAAGAATTTGAAGCAAGATGGAGGAAAAATAGCAATAAGGTACCAGCAACATTAAAAGCTTTTGCGTACGACATAAAGTTCGATCACTCATCTAAGCATAACGAATGAAGAGTGGTAGAATAGTGTGGTTGGAATTGGTCAACCAAACAAGAAGAATGGAGATTCATTTCCATAATTTACCTCAAATTATTCAATGCATCTTTTAAAGGACAAAAATTGTTTTACCAGCCTTTTACAATGAAGGATATGAGATGATGTGTATGATAAATGTCAGAATACGGTACCTGACGGACATCTGAGTTAACCTGGTGTACGACTAGATAATGTATTTACTAGATGCATAACGTTCTGCATTTAACTCAAAATTTTCTTTGTGTCCAATAATAAACGTATAGCATATAACAAACATATCAAGGTGTCTTCCAGGAAACCTCCGGAGATGAGAATTTCCCGATATTTGACAAACTTATTTCAATATGGGTAATGTCAGCAGCAGAAGCATAGGATACAATATCCCAGGTACAATCTAGTTTCAACATCCAGAAATCCCCAAACTGTAGAACACGGACCCATTGTTGATAGAAAAAGTCGCATTTTAACGCACAAATGATGTTACCAAGATTAATGACGGCACAATTTCGACTAATTTGACACGCAGGACGCAAAACCCAATAAAAGATTAGCAAACATGGGTTAGCTTCATTTCATAGTAAGTGAGAAAGCCTGCAAAACCAACTGTATGTAGCCAGCCACCTTAATATATTGCGCACTCCAACCAAAGAGAAATGCCAACCACAATTTCTATATAAACTAATTTATACAATTCTACATCACTTTGCTGATTAGTTTATCTTTACTAGCCGATATACATGGTAGCAAAATGAAGAAACAATAAGAAAATGCCCCTGCCAGGTTAGGCGAACCTATCAAAACTTGCAATTAGCACGAAATATTATGGTTCCCCATTTACAGTTAACATTTATTTACATTTTGTTTGGATATATATACAACATCCTAACTGCATATTACAAAGGCAACAACCAGCATGCGCAATTCAATTCCTACTTCAAGAAAGGAACCGAGTAATCCAGTTACACACTAAAACAATTGCCCTTAATCCAACATGAGTAATTTAAAATAATTTATCTCCCGGGGGTAATTTTATTATAACTGAAAATGAATGATGTTGTTGACTTTTTACTCTGGATTGAAACTTTCTTGTTTGCTGAGGACAAGGATTATTTTGCAAGACCGCAGTTGTCGGTCAATCACAACTGTATTGCGGCAGGATGCATTTTCGCTGAACTAATGTTCTAGTTTAGAGGTATAATGCTGCATCGACAGGTGCTATGTCGTATCCTGCGGAATTGAAGTTAGACTGGGATTGTTTAGGATAAACGTCAAGTTACTGTACCATTACAATGCAATCTGCAATTTGACATGCGCTGTGCAAGCACTACAAAATTTCTCAACATGTAGGATATGATGTCGATGAATCTAGAGTTACATCGGGTTTCTCCTTATGACATTCCCTCTAAAAGCGTCGAACATGATCGAATAGGAATCACAAAAACATATCACTCACTAGAGTCTTGATCAATGATATACTGCGAATCAAGAAAAAATGAAATTATTTCGATGTATTAGGTGCAGCGGTTATTTATTAAGAGTACTCTTGTAGACTGTCATATACGGGTCGATATATTATCCCGCTAATGGGTACATTATGGGTGCGCGAATGAAAAATGAAACTAGCTAGACACTTTTGTATCCGTAACAAAGGTAACACATCCCTAATATCCAGTGTTGCTATGAGAAAAACCGGCGTGTTGTACCACGTCGCAACAAAAAGCAGTGAATATACATCAACCAAGAAGGAAGCAGACAAAACGTATTTTATCTAGGACACTGCCCTTCTGTAGGAAATAACTTAAGCATGTGATACCTAAACCCCAATAAACGATAAAGGTCTAATATTTGTGCATTCGTTTCTTAATTAAAAATGGATATTTTAACATTATTTTAACCGTAGTTCGTTGAGGTCTTATTTACACCCGGTTTTCACTAACATGAAATGCTCCAAATATTTTCTGAATAGCCTATCGCCAAACTAAGTTAACGACGTTTCTCTTATGAGTTTAGGCAGCAGCGATGCTTTATTTGTTATTACTCAGGTGGTTGAAGAAAAATGTTGTCTTATAAAATGAATACTCTACAAAATGGATAATACTTAGCAGAAGAAATAGGAGGACCTAGCCTTAAACCGAAATGTCCCAAGAAAACGCTGTCACTGTTCTCGCAAATGTCTCGTAGCAAACGCTTAAAACGATGGCTACGGTACAAAAATAAGAGGGATTAGTAAGGCAACGTCCTTGCAGCTTTCCCTGCTCCATAACGTAATAAATCATTAGCTATCGAATAGCGCAACACCAAAATGAATTTAAGCAGGCAATCTAAGTACGAGAAGACAGCAGACACATCAATATTACTGAATGTGAGCCACATACTTTTGGGTTGCCATCATGGCATAAGACGGGTTACGTGACCTTCATGTTGAAAAACGAGCTTAGTCTTCGGCGAATTCATTCCCTACTGCCAACTTCTCATTCGTTGAATTCGACTATGCGTCACTCCACAACGGACAAGCCATAAAAGGGTGGTCCTGCTGGGTTAGCTGTGACCTAGCATCCGTGGTCCCTGCCCGAATAACGCAACTTATTTTCTTGTCATGCTTGGATCTAAGGAGCTAGAAATGATCATCACTCTCTAGCACTCATCTTTGTGCATCGCTGCGGAAAAGATTTTACCACCCGAGACCAGCAGCGTTTTGCTGCAGTGATTATCATAATGTTGAATGTACATCTATTCCCCAGGTTTGATTGGTTACGTTTCTATCATATAATAGGAAGACCACCAATTTACTCATATACATAGTGAAGTTCAAACTGATGAAAAATCGTTTCCGATAACACAGATGCAGCAAATTTTGTAGACGGTTCTAGCTTTACCTACATAACGGTTTATTTATTCACCGTTTGGTCACAACTGAGGCAGCTGCAAAGGTTGGTGAATTGTTCAACTGAATCCAGGTCGTTGTTATTAAAAGTTAAACATTCATCTAAAGATTGATAATTTTGCGATGTAATTTTGCACAGTAAAAGGTCGACGCGCATGCCAGAGTATGGGATAATATTAGAGATTCACAAAAATGTAAGGAGCTTCAACAGCATCCTTACACATCAAGATAATATATTCCCAGTGGCCAAAAGCAACTTGTTTTTCCAACTAGCACCTCAAAGCTTTCAATTTGTGATTCCATTGTGCGACACTATATCGGCGTCAGTGACAATGCTGAGAAAAATTGGATGATGGTAGAACACTGAGGAAGGAAATGTGTGATTTCTTACAGATTTGACAACTCATTGCAGAAATTGACGCCGCATCTGGTTTCCGATTAAAGTTACTGAACGATTCCATGTGAAACAATTTACGCACAAGTGTTGCAAAGAGCTTCCAGAGCACTTAAGTCAACTGTATTCTTGAATTCTAGCGACGCAACATTTGTCCGTCTGTGATATTTTGACACACTTCTCACATTCAACGCAGTGTGTAAATATGTTCAAACAATTAGATGTGTTCAATGATGAGCAGCAAAGAGGTCTGACTCGAAAAAGGGGAAGGCGGAAAAAGATAAATTATTGGCGACCCCAGTATGTATGCATATGGTATGATCCCAAATGAAAGTTAATTAGCTGATGTCCTCTCTGCTTATAAAACATAAGAG